AAGCACAAGTGCAGTTGACAGTGCAAGTGATGGGACGAATGCAGCACTCACAGTCGGTGGATGCACTTCGCATTACCTCGCATCTCTCACCCAATCGTTTCCCTTTTACGGTGGCGGTGGCGGTGGCGGTGGTGGTGGCGATGGCGGTTGGCACGACTTGCAATGGTTAAGGCGGTCCACGTCGCATCTTTGTGGAATGGATTTGCTCATCACCCGCCACCTTCACCGCTCTCCTCCAATTGGTTGGTGTGGTGATGCAAGTGCCTTTGCCTTCTCCTCTCGTCTGTGGTGGTCACCCTCCCCTCAATCAACCCCTTCTGAATATCATCTAGCCCTCACGATATTTTTTTTTGTCAACCGCTATTGCGATGGAGATTAAATGACTTTAAATTGTACTCTGTTATGCAATTTTACTATTTTTTAACAATCATACTGTCCCTTTTTAATTTGCAATTTCTTATTACCTTCATTTTCATTGTGCCGTAAAATATATTTTGCTAAATGCCTACACCTTTTGTTTTAGTCGCTAGCAGTTGCCATCCCCTTCTTTTCTCACTCAAAGCCTTAACTTTTGAGGCAATTGAAATAATTGTTGCCTAAACTACGTGTGTGGCCTCCGCTGCATCCCCCAAACACCCTTCTAAGACTGACAAATTTGGACGATGCTGGCGACAATGACTGCGGTGATGATTTCACCTTTCTCACGCTCCAACAGTGTTTGGTGAGGTCCGCCTTTGGGACTGTGGTGACTCCACATACACTGGTCGCCTTCACGGTGTCGTTCTACAATTGACCATGGAATGCAGGTGAATTGAGATGATCTGACTTGCTTGCATTTCATCTCCCATTGTTCATTTTGTAAAAGAAGCGGACTCTTGTTCCACTCTTGCAGATGTTGCTTGCCTCATGGCAGCAGTGAGTAGCGACTGTCAGTGCTTCCCTCAACAGCAAGTGCTGAAGGGAGGTCCAAGTTGCTGTGGTTTTTTTGGAAGCCATCACCACCAAATTATGTCTACAAACGAATTTTTCAATAAATCTGTTACTTAAACCATTTTTTTTACTTAGCTAAAGCATTTTCTGTAATCTTGTCAACCACTTTGACAGTCTGTTGCTCCCATTGGCCTGTTGACAGACGGTTTTTGCTTCGCGTTCCACTCTTGCCGGATGGTTTGGATGTGGAGACTGAGTGGCTGCCACTTCGCCTTGTTTGCAAATGAAGGAGTGGTCAACGAAGTGGCCTCATTCCGAAGCTGTCATTAATAATTCATTTTTTCTGAATGGCAGCGATGAGGTTAGATTAACATCACCAAACGAGACTTTGTGTCAGTGGCTTTCTTTTCTGTTACCCTAACACCACTAGGAGTGTGTGATTGGGTCGCATTTGGTGGTTCTAACTGGTGTGTTTTGGCAAGCGATAATGAGGTAATCACTTTATCTCCTCCTATGCCAATGACTCTTACATTTCCCTTCTTCTTTCCCCTCCACTTCCTCTGCCTCCACCACCTCCTTTTTCATAATCATTTTCCTCCTCATCCTCCGTCTCCTTGCATTCGATTAACAAAATCACATCTTTAAGACGACGCCAGAAACGCACATCTGACGACCCCACCGACAAGCAACCTGAAGCATCCACCTCATCATCACTCCCCTTTCACCACCACCACCACCGCAACCAATACTACTCATATATACTACTACTGCTGCTACCACCACCA